CTTGGTTTATTAAAATGCTTCGTGGACCAAACTTATATTAAAACTCTGTTCCTCTCTATAAAGTGGTAAAGGAGTTATGCACTTGGATTTTTGAGCCAAACTTCCTAGATTTGAATTATTAATTCTCTACGACTGGACTATGTGACCATGGGCAAGTTACTTCACCTCTCTGTGTTTCATTATCTGCAACATTGGGAAAATAGTAGTACCTACTTTATAGGATTGTTGTGAATATTGAGAGCTAATAAATACTAAGTATATAAGACTGTGTCAGCAATAGTAAGTGCTAGTGTAATTATTATTTGGTCAGTTTCAAACTTTGTTTTTTAATTCCTTGTGGTATCTGTGTTAACTGCTAGTGTTGTCAAGTATGTTACTGATGACTGAAATATGTGAATCTAATTCTGATGATGTTTTATTTCATCACAAAACATAGCATATAAAATAATTCTAAACATATATAACACAGTTATAGGTTTTTCTTTATAAAAGCACTAACCAATCACATTTCTTATATTTACTTTTTTTAAAAAAAATCAAAAACCTTATTAATTGTCCCACTCTATTATAACAGATTTCCTTTTGGGTTTATATCGCCTATCAGTTTCTTCCTTTGAAACTCTAAGTTCTTGTTTTTTAAATCTGTATCTACTGAGTTCCTAGTATTTTCTTGTGGATTTTGTGACTTCACGTAGCAGTGAAGCAGTGACGCTATCAATTCATCATTATACTTTTATAAATATTTTCCTGCCTTTTGTTTGTAACTTTACTTAAGTTAATTAAATAGTTTTTAATTACCAGTGATTTAAATTTTTGTGTACACGTAGCAATGAATGGTTTCCTTGTAACTTTGTTCACTGTTTTCAAGCCTCTGAAGGATAGCTTTTGTTTGGCCTGTTGTCTATCCATTACTTCTTTGTCTGATATCAGCATTCTGCTTTTTCTTGTAAATTGCTATTGCCCCATGCTATTCCAAGTGTTCTGTGCATAGCTACCACCACCCCCACTGCTCGCCGTGGCACGTGGTGCGGGCTGGCACCCAGGCACTGCCTCCTCTTGGACACGTTACTCCAGTCGGCGCCAGTGTGCATTAGCGCCGAGGCTCTGCGTTAGAACTGTTGGTAAAAGAGAACCTATGTTTATACTGGGATAGATGAGAGGATGAAATCTAAGCCTGGAGCTGCTGAAAGCCACTTTACTGCCAAGAAAGGAGAGCCTGCCTGGGAATTGGGGCAACACACACCGGAAAGAAAAACCGAGTTGAGAGATGGAGAGAGCAACACTAAGGCTTGATGAAATGAGCCTGGCTCTCATCCCTGGATAGTTGGGTTTTGTGAGCCATTAAATTATCTTTTCACTTCAATTGGATTGTCATTTGCAACCAAGACACCTAATTAATTTAGCTTGGAAAATATTGGAAGGCTATTTTTAAGATAGAGAATACCTTTTTTGGTAGGAGCAAGGAGTGTGAAAGAGATTGAAGATAAAAGGGAAATAGAAATAAAGAAAGGGAGAGTGGCAATTTAAATTTCATCTATATGCTGATTAGCCTCAAATATCTATGTCCATTTCAGATTCCTTACCCAAACTCCAGACTCATGTATCAAATGATTTATTTCATTTTCTGTTTGGAGAGCTCCAAAGAGGTATAGCTATAGTTTTTTAAGAGAATGGAATCAAACAACTTAACCTCATGTCCTAGTTCTTCTACTTATTAGCTATGATGTTGAGCAAGTTACTCAAATTCTCTGTGCCTTCGTGTTTTAATCTATATAATGGGGATAATAACTGTATTTCTTTTTATCAAATTATTATGAGGAGTTAAGGAGTCAATACCCATAAAACTTTAGGATAGCATCTGGCTATTATCAGTCATTTCCAAAATACTGGTTTGATTCCATACTCCGTACCCCCTGCCCAAATATTTCCTTCCTTAGTTTTTGCTAGGCCAGCAAATGGTACCACTCTCAATCTACTTGTAGTAAAGTGGGAGTGATTGAATATAATAAGCTATATAACTAATGGACAAAAGGTTTAAAATAATAGAAACAGAAGCCCAAAGTATGTCCTGGCAATAAAGAGGGAAAAATTCTTTTACACAAAGTCAAGCTTAGTAGGCTATGGTAGGTTAATTGATTCTATTAAAGAGCCATTGAAATATTAATTAGGTGAGTGTTACTATCTAACGCATGTCTTAAAATATCACTTCACTGCTAGTCTCTATTATATGTACAAATAGTTTCTAGATAATAAGGTTTCAGCAGTGAACCAAACATGAAATCTCTGCCCAGCTTAAGGTTACGTTTTAGCAGGGGAAGACAAATGAACAAGTAGATACATAATAAAATGGTGTTATAAAGAAAAATAAAACAGAATGAGTGGGAGTATAGGTAGTCTAGGTAGTAACGGAGGGTGAATGTTGTTCTTTTGAATAGGGTGATCCTGGTCGTCTTCTCTGATGACTTCTAAGCAGAGACTGGAGAGAAGGAGGTGGAGGGAGAAATATCAGGGGGAAGAGCAATCTAGGCAGATGGAACAGATGGAAGTGCAAAAGGCCAAGTTCAACGAGTATGAGGAGGAACAAGGAGGACCGTAGATTGGAGTATGGTGACTAAGGGAGAGATAGAAGGTCACAAAGAAAGTTGGTAGGGCAGATTATGTAGACAATTTAAGGAAGGTTTTTACTCAGAGTGGAATGGGAAACCACAAAAGGTCTTTCAGCAGAGAAGTGACTAGATCACTGTGGCTGCTATGCTAAAAAGATGTCGAAGGCAGGCAGGAGTGGAAAGAGGGGGAGTGACTGGACCTCTGTACCTGTAATCCAGGGGAGAGAGGAGTGTGGTTAGGAGTAAGGTAATGAGTGGAGCTGTGGAAAATGGGAACAAAGGATGTCTTTTTCTGCTGATGTAGATGAAAAGATAAAGCAAAAATCCTTGAGCTTAGGGGAGATTGCTGACTTTGTCTTTCTCTCACCTCTCAATCTATCAGCTGATCCTATCAGGCTACCTTCAAAATATATGTTGAATTTATTATATTTTTAAACGCAGAACTGGAGGAAGACTTTACCAATATATCAGAGTCAACAGGTAAGATGAGACCTGATCGACATCCCTGCAACACATTCTTGAATTCGTTTTCTCAGTTCATCTTCATAATAGCTTCATTCTGCAGATTTGGACACTGTGACTCAAACAGGCTTTAAAATCTCTCCGAGGTTCACATGTATAGTAAATGTGTCCCCGGCATCCATAGTTACTATCTGTTTCCATCAAAGCCTTTGTGCTGCCACTTAAGGATGAGAGAACAAATGGAAGGATTTTAAGGTTGAAGAACAAGAAAACAAAGGATTCTTACTATATTCTTGTAGTTTTTGCAGTAAACCATGAGCTTTAACAACTGAGAGTGAGCAGAGTGGCAAGGATGGAGAGTGGTCTAACTTGAATGTTCTCTGAGACACAAATAGAAAAGAGAAACGGAAGACGGTAGAAAAAAAATTTGAATAGATAATTTCCTACATTTATTGAAAGGAACATGTGCCAGAAGCTCAATGAAACTTTAGCAGGGTAAATACAAAAACAAACAAAACAAACAAACAAACAAACAAACAAAAAACACATATTTAGAAACATCACAATTAAATTTATAAACATGAAAAAGGAAGAGAGAATTGTAAAACAGCCACTTACACAAATAGAAAGATACTACATACAAGGAACAAGTGTACAAATGATGGGTAACTTCTCATCAGAAACAATGTATGGCAAAATGCAATAGAATTACATCTTTAAGGTGATGAACATCAAAAAAAAAAAAACAAAAACAAAAACAAAAAACCCCTGGCAACTCAGAGTTTAATATCCAGTAAGAATATCATTTAAAAAATGAGGGTTAATGAAGATGTTTTAAGGTAAACAAAAGTTGAGAGGATACGCCACCTGTAGGAATGCACTTCAAGACATTCCAAAGAAAATTCTTGAGGATGAAGGTAAATGATACCGGCAAGGAGCTCAGATATATGAAAGGAATGTAGAGCCCTAGATATAGTAGATAGATGATTAAATACCAGCAATTGTCTTTTTTTCTTTTATACCTTTGAAAGATAACTAATTGCTTAAATCATAAACGATGACATTTTATTATGAAGTAAATAAGATATACATATATGACCACAAGAGTACAAAGGGTAGAGTGAGTGTAAATGAAATTATATTGCTGCAAATTTATTACTTTTTTATGAGAGGGGTGCAACATTAATTTTAGATAGAATGTGATAAGTCACAAAAATATAATGGGATACAGCTAAAAAAGCAACAGAGGAAACACAATGGAATACTAAAATATATTTAATTAACCCAAAGGAAGGCAGAAAAAGAAGAAACAGAGGAAAAATTGGGACACATAGAAATCAAATAGTGAATATAAATCTAAACCCAACTATTCAACAATTTATCAGCAAAACATAATAATTATAAATGTGTATGCACCTAATAAAAGAGCTTCAGAAAACTGAAGCAAATTTTGACAGAAATAGAGATCCTGAGAATTGAAAGAATGAAGAGAAATACATAAGCATGTATAAATATACCTTGATCAGATCCCAGAACTAAATGATTACTTTCTAAGTGATCATGATTTTATTATTTTCCAATAACAGTGCATTTTTAAAAGAAGACAACAGTATGAATTGTGTTTGTTATTATAATGTGATTTCATCATGTATCACATACTGACAAAATGTTTGGGTGTAAGTTTGACAAAGGTAAGACTTTCTTCCAACTTCTTTTCTATTATAGAAAATATTTTAAAATTCAGCTTTATTTTGCCATCTATATTTCTTTTCACAAAGTTCATGAAACAGTTTTGAGTGAGACTTTTGCATTCAACACTACGACCTAACACTTACTTAACTAACCTAAACACATCACACTTAAATGAAATCAGCTTCTAGGAGTTACAATTGAACCCTTAGGTATGAGAGATATAAATAAATGAATTCTTACCTTAAAGACTAGTTCTCCTACCAAGCCATTCCATGTCCCATCTTCTTGTGGGCTTCCATATTTGTGATCCGGTGCGACATAAATTTCATAGTTAAAACCCAGGTAGTTTGACAAGGCATCCAAAACATCAATGGAGAAGCCCTGGTATTTCTTCGGCTTACCCAAGACATTTTCAGAGACCATTACAAAAGGTTCTTCCTATATGGAAATAAGGGGAAATGTTTGATGTCAAGCTATACTGCTCCCTAAACTCAAACATTAATTCTTTAAGGAATTTTGCTTAAGTCTAAAAATTGCTTTATACTTTGAGAGAATTAAATTAGGAATATAATTTATACATTAATAATGTATCATATTATTGAACAATGTTTAATCCTCCAATTTCTTGTCATCTTTCATTTAATTATTGCTGTATCAAAATTTAGATGAAAGTGACTAAAAATCTTTAGGAGCCATGAGTTCATTTTCCTTTCCATCTCAGGACCTATCTAAGATTCATCAAAAACAAAATTATATTTAAGAAACTATAAATTTATTATATTTATTCTCAAACATTTATTGTCTACATATGTAAAAATACATAAAATAATATTTTAACAGATATGATCTACATATAACTCTGTAAAAAGATAAATTTCTAAGAACATATAATTTAGCTGAAATTTATAACATCACATTTACTGAGAGTTGTTTGCTAAGAAATTTTGTAATGTTGATATAATCACATATTTCATTGCAAAAATAGCTTCTCAATGACTGATATGAGAAATTCACTTACCTTTTTTGGTAAACTGTCTAATTTAGTACATTCAGCAAATTGGTTTCTGCTTCTACCTCTTTTATCTTTTCCCATTTTTGTCTTCTTAAAGCTAACAAATAGGCCCCTTTCACTTTTTAGAACACCTGGTGTTAAGAGAGCTCAATTGGATTGACACATACTGTCAGACTACAGAAAATTAGATAATCTATTCCTTAATTTTCTAAACTTGTTCAGAAATCTTTCAGCAACAGTACTATTTACAGATAACCATTCATAGTGCATATAGTCCATCCTGCCCCCTGGCAGGCTAATATTTCTCCTTGGGTCTAAGCCAGAATACCCAAAGATTTTCTCTTTGAATCATTTTTCCTTAGGGACTCACAAAATAGCCTTCATTGAAATGTAAAATAATACTTTGCTTCTGGCTTTTCTTCAGAGACACTAAGTAAGTGGCTTATAAAATCACTGCACCTGTTATAGGAATATTGTCTACCAACACACACATTCAGTTTTCTCTCTAAACATTACCATGAGATAAATTTTTTAATTTCTCAGGGTCAAAGACCTTCATTTTGCCTTATTAGTGCCTTTTGTAAATGATGAAAATAATGTAACTAATTATTGGGGTATCCCTTTTCACTTTGTATATATGGAAAATCAGTACTAAGTTTTTGATGCTCATCTACAACTATGTTGATATTGTGGTATTTGTAATATTTCTTTAATCTTGGTTTTCTAAGCTACTTATATTTTCTCATTTTGGAAATGTATTTTTAACTGTTCACTTTTTAAAAAATGGGACAGCTTTATTCTTTTTTTATTTCAGATATTATGTAAGTACAAATGTTTTGATCACATGATTTGCTTTTGTGCAGTTTGAGTCCAAGTTATAAGCATGCCCATAACCAAGAAAGCATGCACTGTACCATTAAGTGTAAATTTACCCATCCCCTCCTCCCCTCTCCCACCTACTTGGTTTCCGTTGAGTTTTACTACTTATGTGCACATTGATTGGTTAGTTCCAATTTAATACTGAGTTAATGTGGTAGTTGTTTTTCCATTCTTGCTATACTTCGCTTAGAAAAATGGTCCTACTTTCATTTAGGTTGTTACAAAAGGTAATAGCTCAGCATTTTATGGCTGCATAGTACTCCATAGTATACATATATCATATTTTATTAATATACTCGTGTATTGATGGACAATTGGGTTGATTCCACATCTTTGCAATTGTGAATTGTGCTGCAATAAACATATGGGTGCAGATGTCTTTTTGATAAAATGACTTTTTCCTTTGGGTAAATACCCAATAGTGGGATTACTGGATCAAATGGTAGGTCTACTTTTAGTTCTTTGAGGTATCTCCATACTATTTTCCATAGAGGTTATACTGGTTTGCAATGCCCCCAGCAGTGTATGAGTGTTCCCTTCTCTCCACATCCATGCCAGCATCTGTTGTTTTGGGAATTTTTGAGTAAAGCTATTCTCAGTGGGGTTAGGTGATATCTCATTGTGGTTGTGATTTGCATTTCCTTGATGATTAGAGATATTGAGAATTTTTTCATAGGTTTATTGACCATTGGTCTATATTCTTTTGAAAAGCTTCTGTTCCTGTCTTTTCTCACTTTTTTATGGGGTTGTTTTATTTTTTTTCTTGCTTTTGTGCTTGAGTTCTTTATAGATTTTGGTTATTAGCCCTTTATTGGATGTAAAGCCATGAAAATATTTTTTCCCATTCTGGAGGTTGTCTATTCACTCTGTTGATTGTTTCCTTGGCTGTATAGAAGCATTTTACTTAAATCAAGTCCCATTTGTTAATTTTTGTTGCTGTGATTGCCTTTGGGGTCTTCTACATAAATTCTTTCCCTCAGCCAATATCTAAAGAGTGTTTCCAAAATTTTCCTGTAGAATTCTTAAGAACCTAATTTTCATGTCTTAGGTTTAAGCCTGCTACCCATTGTGAAATAATTTCTGTGGGTGCTGAGAGGTGTGGATACTGTTTCAATCATCTACATGTGGCTAACCAATTCTTGCAGAACCATTTATTGAATAGGGATTCTTTTCCCCAGTGTATGTTTTTGTCTGCTTTGCCAAACATCAGATGGCAATATGAGGATGGCTTTATATCTGGGATCTCTGTTCTGATCTATAGGTCTATGTCTCTGTTTTCATTGCCAGTAAAATACTGTTTTCATTATTATAGTCTTGTAGTATAGCTTTAAGTCTGGTAAAGTGATGCTTCCCAATTTGTTCTTATTGCTTAAGGTTGTTTTGGCTATTCAGGTCTTTTCTGGTTCCATATGATGCATAGAACTATTTTTCCTAGATCTTTGAAAAATGACATTGGTATTTTAATGGGAATTGCATTGAATCTGTAGATCACTTTGGGTAACATAGACATATTAACAATGTTGATTCTGCCGATCCATGAACATGATATGGCTTTCCATCTGTTTATGTCCTTTGCTGTTTCCTTCCTCAGTGTTTCATAATTCTCCCTGTAGACATCTTTCACCTACTAAGTTAAATACATTCCTAGGTATTTTATTTTCTTTGTTGCTGTTGCGAAAGGTATTGAGTCTCTGATTTGATTCCCAGCTTGACTGTTGTTGGTGTATAGGAATGCTACTGAATTGTGTACATTGATTTTGTAAGCTGAGACTTTGCTGAATTTGTTTATCAATTCCAGGACTCCCTTAATAGAGTCTTTGGGGTTTTCTAAATATAAGATCATACTGTCAGCAAAGAGCAAGAGTTTGACCTCTTCTTTCTCCATTTGGATACCCTTGATTTCCTTCGCTTGTCTAATTGCCCTGGCTAGCACTTCCAGCACTACGTTGAATAGAAGCGGATAGATTGAAATTGCATGTTATCTTAGAGTTAAATGAATCATAAATGAATAGCTAGATAGAATAGGTTACTGTTAGTTGTTCCCCAGTAGCAGTTTTCTTCTCTAATTATAATTTTTTTTTTTTTTATGTTTTAACAGTACTGAGAATAAAGACAATCTGCAGTATTATTTCAGGCAAAGAGAGGCTATGCAAGTAATTCTGGCCAATGTGATGTAGGCAGAGTGGTTTGTGCCACATTTCTTGCTGTCCTTTCTACTGCTTGCCAATTGGAGTGAACATGTTATGGATGGTACTCTGGTAACTATCTGAGGCCACACACAGCAGAGAAACAAGATAAAAGTTTCTGTCCCTCACACTTGAAATGCTGCACCAGACTTGGAATGACTCTCTAGGTTTCTAGAATGACTCTCTAGGTTTCTAGAAAGAAAGAAATTTCAATCTTTTTTTGCTAAGCTACTGATTTTTTTTCCTGTTATAATAGTATTTCATCTTGGTGAATATTGATAGATTGTTAGCTCAGTAGATAAAAGGTTTTGAGAGTGCATCAAATTTCTAATAATACTGACTTGTTTAATCTAAATGACATTATAATAAATGAGTAAAAAGTGAACACTCAATCAGTTCTTTAATCTTATGGGTAAAATACAACACTCTTGGTGATTCCAAGTATTTATATAAAGTATATAATAAAACTTTCAGACAATTGGCAGACTTTTTGACTTCTCATCTGATGTTTTGGGCAAAATATAGACCTAGGCAATGACTATGCATTGCATAAATACATATGTCCTGAGTTCATTAGAATCAGAATGGATTAAAGGGATTTCAAAATAAAGATCAAATTCACAGAGCATGTAAATAAGATCCAGAAGTCTCATAATTAATATAGCCTTAAATGGTCTGTGTCATGTGTAAATGATGGTATTAGAAAGTGTATACTTATTTTAGTATGTGCAATTTATTCATCTCTAAGTTTTGAACATCAAGTGGCAAATCAATTGAAAAAGGGTTCATGGAAGATATTGTTTAACTGGTTTTTCTAGCAATAATTTTGGGTTATATGCATTCTCTATTTTTCAGAACCTTCAAAACAAATCTGTTAAGTTTAGCAATAAGTTAATTATGAGGAATAACACTCTCTGAATAACACTTTGAATAACACTCTATGAGATGATACTTAAAAAATTAAGAACTTACCTATATTGCATAACTAAAGGATAGATGTAGCAAAAATAACATTTCAATGTACATGCTCATATGAACTATTAGTGATTCTTTTTCATTTTTATTCATATCTCTTTGGAGCAATTGTTTAATATACTAAATCATCTTATTTTCTTAGCATGTTTAACATTCTCAAAATAACTTTAAATCAAATTTTATAAGAAAATACCTAGGCAAATGTATTTGTTGCCAAAATCTATTCCTAGCAATGTCACCTAGAATGGATTAAAGATGCAGAATAGACGTGGTTATACTCAGAGTCCTTTTAAAGAGAGTTGATGAATTATTGATGAACATGCCTTTTAAATTTTATGTCTTAAATAAATCTTTATTGAATCCTATCATTTCTCATATGGATAAAT